CCTGTGCTAAGCGTTTGGCGTTTGTGATAGATATGTTATGTTGTTCCTGGACCTTTATAGCCCCATCATTGATCAGTCAAGAAAAATTTCCCCCTGGGATAATAAAGTATTATCGTATCGTATCTTTAAGAGAAGAGACGGGACCTCAGAATTTAATGTCCATCTTTATCTCCTATTAGACTGAGCCATTTGGCTCGAGAGCTTTGAATCCTCCACGAAACAACATGAGCTTAGAAACGCCCTTTTTGGGATTCGAACCAGGGGCGTCCATTCAAACCCTATCACTATCAGCGTGATACCAACTGATAAAACGGAACCCCCAAAGGTCTTGTGGATAGCAAAAATAAATCCGCTGAATACCTTCCGAAGTTTGCGAGGGTATCTCTCTCTCTCTCTCTCTCTCTCTCTCTCTCTCTCTCTCTCTCTCTCTCTCTCTTTCTTTCTTTCTTTTCTCCCTTCTTTCTTTCTCCTTCGCTGCTCTTTTCACGACATGTTCACAATTTTTCACCAACCAAATGACCTCCATGATCATTTCTGTGTCTAATGGGACGCTAAACTCTTTCTAAGTAAGAGTATCTTAAAGTTTCTACATTATGTTTTCATGGATTTATCGGATTTTAAGTACTTATTAGGGAATGGCTTGGCTTTGGGTACACCCAGAGCAACCTACTAAGAGAATCTAAATAGATGGGTAACAGTGAAAGAACAGGGTGACGAAGCTTTTTTTAAGAGCATCCGAGCAAAGGAATGACCGGAGAACCAAGATCACCGATGTCTGCAGCGGATCTGGTACTTGAGGATAATTATTTTTTTCCTAGAGTTTACTTTGTGTTTTGTCGCCCTGGAAGGAACGTTTTCTTCCCAGCAGGTGCTTAGTCAAATTATAACATCAGACTTTAGGAATTGTTTTTTCTGTCTACGTGTTTTCCTTTTATAAAATTGGATGAAACCAGTCTCTACGTCAATGACGTTCTACTTGAGACATAACTCATGGCGTCACTTGACGGATTTATTTTGTGTAAACAGGGAATAAGAAGTAATAGTGAGAGGTCCCACCTTTTTTTAAGACTCCGCCATACCAATATCGCTACTAGAATTACAAAGTTCTGTCTGACATTTTTTGGCCGTTATGAGTTACTAAAACCATAAAGTCAGAAACCAAATGTTCTACATGCTCTGTAAAAATTGTAAGATTATTCGAAGTCGTTCTCAAGATACTTAAAGAATATTGCATTTTAAAAAGCTTGACATTTTGTGAAACTCAATATTTTTTACGTCAAATTTCTCACAACTAGGCACAGAGCAGATAGAACTTTGTAATTCTAGGGTAGCGATATATAAATGATACAAGTTTGCTGATCTTCATCGTTTCTACTCCAGAGACTGCTACGGAAGAGGAAAGGAAGAATCTGAAGGAAGAGCTAGAGCAGATGTTAAATGTTGGACCACATCCAAACATAATTGGCTTATTCGGCTCGGCAGTTTGCGAAGGTAAGCATTACTTTACTTTAACCTTTTCCTTCCTCTGATATCCTTAGGATGTCGAATGGAGGTAGGCGCAGGTTTTGGTCCTGTGCTAAGTGTGTGGCGTCTGTGATAGATATGTTATGTTGTTCTAGGACCTTTTTAACCCCATCCAACCAGGTCCTCCTTAGTCTTCTTCTTGATTTGAAGCAAGAAAGGTAAGCCTAATATTGTGCGTGATGATCTAGTTTTGCTCACACCCACAAAAGCAGTGTGTCCTTAGTCATTCATTTATTCCTACAGACCATTACTTTTTGTTCTACACTTCCCCTTTTTCTCTCGGGTGGCGTGGGTAGCCTAGTGGTTTGACTACCGAACTCGTAATCGTAACTTTTCGAGATCGGAAGTTCGAGCCTCAGCTCGGTCCGACGTTGTGTCCTTTGGAAAGGCACTTTACACGAATTTCCTATCAGGCTCGGTCCTTTTGGAGATGGGTGTGAAAACTCTGAGGCCGCGCTTGTCAAATAACCTAATAAGGTTGATAGGGGCATAAAACCTATACCATTTGCACTTTTTTTCCCTTCTGGCTTGTTCTTTTAGAAACCTAGCAACCAGACAGGCAACGTTCAGGCAAAGTGGGCTTGTCGTGGACTCTATTTTCCCTACAAATGCTCCTCTGTAAATTCTTCTATAAATCCTATTAGGATTTCGCAATACGGTTAATATATGCCGAATCGCTTACTTGAAAATATCTCTTCTTATTGTCTCTTATTTTCCGTTCGCACTCTTGGGTTTGGTAATAATAATAATGATAATAATAATAATAATAATAATGATGATGATGATGATGATGATGATGATGATGATGATGATGATGATGTTGATGGTAAGAGTTCGAAGATATAAAAAGGGCAAAAAATCATCATTATGATCTTCACAAGCATCATGATAATAGATCCTAATAACAATAAAAATAATAATGATAAAATCGATCTAACTCAAAATCGTGTAAACCTTTTGTCTCGTAAACCGAATGATGTTCAAGAATTCCGATAACACTAATAAAAAGTGCAATCAAGATAATCTGTGAACGCGTACTTAACAGTAAAAGGCATGTTTTGTTTTGGTAGTTGGGG